TTGATGCAGGAGAAGAAGCCAATTGCTTTCTTTAGCGAAAAGTTGAGTGAGGCTTCCTTGAACTATCCCACATATGACAAAGAACTCCATGCTCTTGTTTGAGCTCTAGAAACGTGGCAGCACTATATCTAGCCTAAGGAGTTTGTGATCCACACCGATCATGATTCCTTAACGTACTTGACGGCACAACATAAGCTGAACAAACGACATGCGTGGTGGGTGGAGTTCATCGAATCCTTCCCCTATGTGATCTTCTACAAGCAAGGTAAGGAGAATGTGGTTGTCGATGGCCTTTCTCGCAGGTATGCTTTGATTTCTTCTCTTGATGCTCGATTCATTGGGTTTGAGCATATCAAAGAGTTGTATGTCAATGATCCTGATTTTGGTGAGATGTATACGACTTGTGAGAAGCATGGTGAAGGAAAATATTACCGAGCGGATGGTTATTTGTGTCGTGCTAACCGACTTTGTGTGCATCATGCGTCAATTTGTGAGCTACTGGGTAGAGAGGCTCATGGTGGAGGCCTCGTGGCTCATTTTGGGGTATCCAAGACTTTGGATTGTCTCCAGGAACACTTCTACTGGCCTCACATGAGAAGTGACGTGGAGAAGGTGTGTGCACGGTGTCTTAAGTGCCGCCAAGCCAAGTCAAGAGTTCAGCCAAACGGGTTATATACTCCTCTCCCTATTCCTACTGCTCCTTGGATTGATATTTTTACGGATTTCGTTCTTGGATTGCCTAGGACTAGGAATGGTAGAGATTCAGTGTTTATTGTGGTTGACCGGTTTTCAAAAATGGCACACTTTATCCCATGTCACAAAACTAATGATGCATCCAATGTAGCTGAATTGTTCTTTCGGGAAATTGTTAGGTTGCATGGTATGCCTCGTACTATAGTCTCTGATCGTGATGTCAAGTTCTTGAGTTACTTCTGGAAAATATTATGGAGTAAGCTGGGTACTAAGTTGTTGTTTTTTACTACTTGCTACCCTCAAATGGATGGTCAAACTGAAGTAGTAAATAGAACTTTGTCCCAAATGCTTAGGGCCGTCATTAAGAGTAATGTCAAGTCTTCGGAAGAATGCTTACCTCATGTAGAGTTTGCATATAATAGGGTTGTTCATTCTACCACTAAGTATTCACCATTTGAGATTGTATATTGTTTTAATCCTTTAACCCCATTAGATTTTTCTCCATTACCTATCAATGAGCGTGTGAATTTAGATGGTGCGAAAAAAGCAGAGTTTGTTCGAGGTTTACATGAGAAGGCGCTACTGAACATAGAGAGGCGGACATAGCAGATCCTGAAGAACATGAACAAGCATCGGCGTCCTGAACGATTTGAGCCAGGCGATTGGGTCTGGGTGCACATGAGGAAGGAACGTTTTCCCGAACAACGACGTTCCAAGCTGTTGCCTCGTGGCGATGTCCCTTTCAAGTCCTTGCACGCATCAATGACAAGGCCTACAAGATTGACCTGCCGAGCGAGTATGGTGTGAGTGTTACGTTCAATGTTGCTGACTTAGCTCCTTTCCTTGAAGATGACTCAGATTTGAGGGCAAATCCTTTTCAAGTGGAGGGGGATGATGAGAGCATCAACACCAAGGCGGCTTCAAGTCCAACTCTAGTGCAAGAGGGGCGTGGACCGATCACTAGAACACCAACTTCTCTTCTTCTTCTTTCTTGATCGTGGAATCGATTCAGCAAGAGGAGATTGACGTTTTCTGCTAGCACATCACCCTAGCCGAATAGTCATTCGAATACCTGCCCTCTTTCTGACTCATGGATTTGGTTTGGGTTATAATCCGTTTTGTGATCGTTGTGCTTCTAATCGTTCTTTGCTGCGATTCTGATTGTTTAAGTCCAGGAGTTGGAGCCTTGACTTATATCAATTTTCTTTGATTTTTAAAGCTATAGATCACAGATTTGGCTTGAAGCTATTCTTCACCAATGATTAAGTCTATTAAGCATCGATTTGGTTGGATTCTTTTCGAGTCATTTTTGGCAAATTCCAAAGGGGTACCATCAAGATTTAGGGCGCTTTCTTCGAAAGGCCATTTTCCTTGGATTTTGAAGGTGACAGATCACGGAATCAGCTTGAGGCTATTATCCACCGATGATAAGTCTATTAATCGCCGATTTGAGTGGATTTTTTTCAGTGGGTCTCTTCATAAACTTTTTGGCGATTGTTTCGGAATGTCATTTTCCTTGGATTTTGAAGGCTACAGATCATGGATTAGGTCTAAAGCTATTCTTCACCATTGATTAAGTCTATTAAGCAATGATTGGAGCGGATTTTTTCGAGGACCATTTTTGACAGATTCTAAAGGAGTATCATCACAGATTTCAAACGATTTTTTTTCGAAAGACCATTTTCCTTGGATTTTGAAGGCTACAGATCATGAATTTAGCCAGAAGCTATTTTTCATCGAGGATAAATTCTACTAATCGCCAATTTGGGTGGATTTTTTTCGAATCCATTTTTGACAGATTCCAAAGCGGTACCATCATAGATTTCGCGCGATTTTTTCGAAATAATAATTTCTTTGGATTTTGAAAGCTGCATAAAACATATTCGACCATAGGCTATTCTCCACCGATTATAAAAATCTATTAATTGCCAATTTGAGCGATTTTCTCGGATGACATTTTTAGTAATTTTTTTGGTGAATTTTTTATATGCATTTTCCTTGGATTTTGAAGGCTAGAGATCTCAGATTCTATCTGAGACTATTCTTCACTGTGGTTAAGTCTATTAAGCACCGATTTGTGAGGTTTTTTTCTTTGGCCACTTTTTGCAGATTCCAAAGGTTACCATCACAGAATTAAAGCGTTTTTTTTTCGAAAAATCATTTTTCTTGGATTTTGAAGGCTACAGATCACAGATTCGGCCCGAGACTATTCTTCACCGATGATAAAGTATAGTAGTCGCCGATTTGGGCATATAAGTTTCGGAGGGCAATTTCGTAAATTTTTGGCTTTTTGTTTTTCGAAATGACATTTTACTTGTATTTTGAAGGCCACAAATCACATATCTGTCTTGAGACTATTCTTCACCGTTGATTAAGTCTATTAAGCATCGATTTGTGCGAATATTTTTTGGGGCCATTTTTTGCAAATTCCAAAGGGGTACCATCACATATTTTGGGCAATTTTTTCAAAATGCCATTTTTCTTTGATTTTGAAGCTATAGATCACGAATTTGGCCTGATGTTATTCTTCATCATTGATTAAGTTTATTAAACATCAATTTGGATGGATTTTCTTGGGCCATTTTGGCAGATTGAAAAAGGGTACTATCACAGATTTCAGGTGATTTTTTTAAAATACAATTTTCTTTGGATTTTGAAAGCTATAGATCATAGATTTTGCTTGAGACTATTCTCTATCAATGATAAACTCTACTAGTCAGTGATTTGGGCGGATAATTTTCGGAGGATATTTCGTAAATTTTGGGAAATTTTTACGGAATGCCATTTTCCTTGAATTCATCCTGAGTCTGAGGTTGTTCTTCACCGTTGATTAAAACTATTAAGAACAAATTTGGACGAATAATACTTTTCGGGGCCATATTTAGCAGATTCCAAAGGGGTTTCAGTCAATTTTTTCGGAAGGCAATTTTACTTAGAATTTGAAAACCATTAATTTGCGTTGCCCTCCAAATGATAGCAAGGAGCACCTTATGCTCTTCTGGTGTTTCCTATATTTTAAAGAACTTTTCCACATGCGTGAACCTTCCAAATGGATCCTCACTCTTGTGGTATTACGGAAATTCCACCCATATTCCTTTTATCTGATTTGGACCACGATGCCTTGGGCTATTAATAAAACCCAGAAAGTTCTATAAAAACCATGAATAATATAGATTGATTTATGAAAATTATGTTAACCATTTGTTTCATTATTATTATTATTATTATTTTTTTTTGGCGAGAATAGTTTTTTAGTTATCAATCTTACTTTACGGCACTCCTTAATTCAGTAGAATCCGGATTTGACGTTATTGTATTACTTTTCGCAAATCCCCGATGCCGTTGGCCACTGACGGACAAGTTGAATGCTGGCGTCATCGCCAACCGGTGGCCGGTCGTTGCTGGCAGCAACGCGTCTAACCTAAACTACCTCTGAAAGAATCCCGGCTTCGTTATTACCGTCAACAATTCACCGCCGACGGTGAGTGCAGTAGTTTGATTGTAGTGTAGAGCCACCGTCAGCTGCGGTGGCCGGTCGTCTTTGCTAGCAGGGACCACGTGGCCGGTGGCTGAGTTAATGGGGCCCCAAAATATGACTTTCCGTTGTGATCACCATTTTGCATGGTATTGCCATACTCTAACGTCTCGCGTGGTGCTCATGCACGTGTCCTCCATGCAAAATAAAGCGCGACAGGTAGACAAACCTACCTGAATTTAATCACAAAGCAACGGTTAGAACTTAGAACTAAAAAAGACAAGAAAGAAATCTTCTTTGCTCTGTGCATGTAGGAAGAAAGAACAAGAGGGAGAAAGGAGCAATTGCTATAAATTGAGATTTGAGTTTCAGGGCAGTTTTAATTATGCAATTGTGAAGTGTTAGCTTCTAAAGAATGAATTATTATACCGTTTTGCTGGTCTCTTTTCGATGGCTAACCGTAAAATAATTAGAAAAAAAATCATATAATTATTGCTCATTCAATTTTGATTCTTTAAGCTTTCACGAATCATTTTTAGGAAAAATGTGGATGATAAGGTTGTTCATAAATAAGTTATTAATCACTACGTACCTTAAAAAGAAAGTCAACTAATGAATTCGAAATTTATATATGTCTATCATATAATATGTTTTGATATACCAATTAATATTAGGATCGTGAGAATTTGAACACATTATCTCAAATACAAACTAGTTCTGATCTCCTGTTATAAGTCATATGGTGTCAATATCTCGACTTCGAATAATTGTAAGATACCTAAGAAAAAATATTAGGTACACAATTGCCAAAGAAGAAAAGTACCCCAAATGTATTAATCTTAAGACTGTATTATATATTGTATATCATTACAAAAGTACCTCAAATGTCGACACCACACAACACACAAACACATTAACCCTCTCCACGTACAAAGTACCCAAGAAAACACAAAAAGTTAAAAAGACTCCATTACATTATCCTAACCCTTTCTAAGTTTAGGGTTTCCACTTGCCCTCTCTCAAAACATAAGGGCATTATTATTATTATTATTATTATTATTATTTTTTATTATTATCAACCATCCAACATTATCAGCAGCTCATGATAGCACAGTTGTACACAAACGTCCCCGATTGTCTCCCGGCAATCACCTCCCACCGCAGCGGCACCGCACTCCCACCACCACCATCCCCCTCCTCCGCCACCGCCGCCGGCGGAACCCACGAGTGTATCTCCACAACCCCAATCCCTCCTCTCGGCCCGCCGATCACCACCAGCCTCTCCCCAACACCCTTAAACGCCATCCCCCACCCGCCCGTACACGCCACCGTCGCCGGCAGCTTCCCGACGCTCACCCACGCGTTCCTCCCCTTCACGTACCTCCACAGCTCCATCTTCTTCTTGTCCGCCACCTCGGCGGCGTACAGCTCGTCACCCACTACCGCGCACAGCGGCGGGCAGCCGTACGGCCCGCACGACGGCGGGCACATGTCGGGGACCACCTCCCACGTCATGGTCCTCGGGTCGTACACCTCGGCTGACGTCATCGGGACCCTGTCGGGGCCGTACCCGCCCATGACGTGGAACTTGCCGTCCATCATCACCCCGCAGCACTTCTTCCGCGGGGTCTTCAGCCCGCCGCCGGGGAGCGGTTTCCACGTGGCGGTGTCTGAGTTATAGAGCTCCGCGGAGGTGAGGATCTCGCCCTTGATGGTGACGCCACCGGCGACGTAGGCGAGAGAGCCGGCGCTGGCCGAGGCGAAGAGGCACCGCCGGGTGTTCATCGGTGGATTATCTGTTAATTAAGAAACGTAGGAGTTAAAACATAACTATGAATATATGAATGATTTGTTCGGATGCCACATAATGAATTCCTAACTCTAATAAAATAAGCGGGTTTGTGATTTAAAAAGCTGAAGTTGTTTTCTAAGAATTAGTTCATCCAATGGGTTGAGTTGTTGAAAAAAGTTCAATAATGAATGATATATTATTTATTAACATATCCACTAAAATGAAAATCATTTATAAATGCTTGAAGTTTGCACAGGTTCGGACACCATGTGCTTAACTTAACATATTGGGGTTATCGAAATTCAAACAGAAGACCTTTCAGTCACAAAAGGCTCTCATATCATGTAAGAACCATTTGATTCCAATAACTCGAGTTATTAGGAACAATTGGTTCTTGATATAGTTGTACCAAAAGCAGAAGCTTTGATTTGGAAAATCTCCGCAAAACTATTTTAAAATGCAAGATTATCGTTGCCATTTTTTATTTTTGTTCCCATATCATATATTTTTCTTTCATTGATTTTTAGAGGTGTGAAACGACCGACCTACTGTTTCAATATAAAATACTCTGCTTGCTGACTATACTGATACACCATCTAATACAGTTCTACCGTTAAAATTCACTTCTAATAATTTATCAACCAAACACTCAGGGTAAAAAAAAATACTTCTCTAAATACTGGTTTTGCAAAAGCAACCAATCTAGCCCGATCAAACGTGAAACTCAAGCTAATAAGTAAAAAAAAAAAAAAAATTGTCAATTTACTGATATCTCGACATTACCGGTGGTCCATTGGTTGGTGTCAAGCCTGTACTTGTAAATAGCCATGTCCTCCATTTCCCGGCCGACGATCAACAGCTCGGTCCCGACGGCGAGGGACTCCTTGTCGGAGTGCATGAAGACGGGGTCGGCCGGCATCTTGGGGACGTTGAACCACCGGCGGGTGGCCGGATCGAAGGCCTCCCACTGCATGAGGTTGCAGGACATGTACACCCAGGGCTCCGCGATTCCAGCGATCTGCCGCTGCCGGTAGAGCTCGCCGCCGCGGATCAACGAGCGGAAGGACTTGTTCAGGGCGGCGACCTTGTCGTGGTCGGCTCGCCGACAGCGGACGAGGCAGCTGATGGATAGGTCCCGGCCCAGTGGGGCGATCAGGGAGTCGGATTCGGAGTCGTCGGACGTCGGCTCGTCGCGTGGTTGGCGGAGGAGTGATGGAGCAGCGGCCGCCGGTGCCATTTTTCTGCTTGCTGAAATTTCTCATGTTGTACAAGATATAAGAAACGGCAGTTTTGGAAATATCGTAAAAGGAAGTGGGAAAGATGAGTGTGTTCGATTTAATGATGGTTGTTGTGATTTATTTCTAACATTGTCATGCATAAGAGTCTTGATATGCAACAACGAACTTAATGAACTTTTAAACGGTATAATTAGAAAAGTAGCTTAAAAAAAAATTAATAAAACATAATTGAGACAACACTATCACAAACCCTATCGTACCGGCAAGTTGTAATGTAAATATCGGATACCAAACAAGAAAGTATAGGCGATTTTAACAATAGAAAACAGGTTGAACCACGATTAAACCACAATTTTTAATACAAAATCCTTTCCACTGATTTTGTTGTATTAGTATAACCTCCAATATGGTTATAGTTGTTGAACATGATTGATTGAAGAAATGTTAACTTTTTTGCCATAGGTAATACCCCGCGAGAAAACATTATATATATGCGAATATACAAGATTTTTGTAGGTCAGGTCACAAAATGAAATAAAGTAAAAAAAATATTGATCAGACAAGTGTACAACCCAACGATGAAATGACTTTTTTTTTTTTTCAAAAAATGAGCACCCATGTTATACCTTTGATGTGCAAAGTGTAAAGATTGTAGAATCTTGATGCAAACAAATCTCAGTCAAATTAGGATCGAAGAAAAATGAAAATAAGAAAGAAAGAAAAAATCAACTAACCACCCAAATACCTAAGAAGTAGGGAGCAACACACCACGAATTCCTATCAGACCAAGAACATAACTGCAATAACTATCTTCATCATTCTATCACAATTATCCATTCCAACAGAACAAATCTACAAAGGATCAAGAACTCAGCAACCAACTAAACAAATTAACAAACGGAATCTAATCACAATTAACCGCAAATGCATGCCCATGCCATTTAACCGATTGAACCATCGTTAGGACTCTCAAAAACATAAAGACTTTGCCTACTTTTGATGGGTTGAGGAATTCACCTCAGGGAAAAGAGATCGAGATTCGAGAATGGCGAAATGGGTGATGATCGGAACACAAGATGGTGATCAGAATAGCGGCGGCCGGCGGGGCTCTCTCTCTCTCTCGATCGCTTCCGCGATCTCTTAACTCGGTGGCTGAGTCACCGACTCGCTGGCTAGGGCAGAAGAGAGTGAGCCTGAGAAATGTTTTTGTCTGTATGCGTAACTGAGAGGGAGCGTGGGGGTTTTATAGAGCGTGCAGGTGTTAAGCTTTTGGAAATGTATTAATTGTCTGTAAGAGAAGGGAAAGGGGAAGGAGGAATAATGTGGGGCCCGGGCCAGGGTAACCGTCGTTCGCCGGTGGCGGGATGAGTTCTTTCTTCCCCGGGATGGGAATCGCTTCTTCTCTGCGGAAGAGAAACTGCCGTGGCAGCCGGGGTAAATATGGCCGTTCTCCGTCCACGTACGTGTCCATGAGGGGGAAAATAAGGCAAGAAAGTGAATAAGATAGAGATGAGACTTCACATTATTTATGCGTCAGATTCATTCATTCAAAAAAAATTTACACTTTTTTTGACCATTCTGCCCTCGTTGTTTCTAATTGGTAAAAAAAGTCAGTTATGGTACATGGATATTGTGGTTGTGAGCAACATAAAATTAATGAGGCCCAGGATATTAGCTATAAGATTTAGTTGTTAACCTTTTCTAATGATTTGAGTTATTAAATAATTATTTTTTGTTATAATGATTGTTGATTGAAGTTGGGTTGACGTGCATACAAGATACAAAAGTTCGATTGTATCCGATAACACCATCATGATTAAGATTACAACCAATCATGTGCTTCATGATCGCACGAAACATGTTGAAGTTCACGATCATTATATGCAACAGTTGGTAGCATATGGTTTTGTGGAAATAGTATATATTACTTCAGAAGATCAAACAAATTATAAAGGTCGTTACTCGGCTCGTTATTGGTTTCTAGCACAAAAATTGATGTTCCGTCAGCACAATCAATTAGAAGGAGAGTGTTAGAAGTTAGTGTGTCAAAATGTAATTAGTTGTTTGTGTATATAGTAAGTGTGATATCATTCATGAGCTGGGGTTGTGTTTATTGTGTATATATAGGAGGGCAGTTGAGTCTGCACACCTGGAAATATAAGACACTCTCCACCTTTGTGTCGTGGAATAGTCTCAACGTTCATCGTGTGTTCTTGTGTACTCAATTATGTGTTTAATTGGCATGATATTAGAATCTTGTGTGATTTAGAGGTCTTCTTTCAATCCCGACGATCCCATTTTTAGACTGCGCAAACTTCAAACACATTTGAGTGACTTGAGTTTGATGGGCCATGTTAGTATTAGTCTTATACCACATTGATGATATATTAATGCTCTTATAAGGTCAAATTAATTATAACAATTAATGTTATTCGCAGCTGGCGCTGTAGCTCCTTAAGGCTAGACATGACCCGATCCACCCTTATGCTACTCTCCTTTCTGCCATTCGCAGGAAGCTTAACCGTGACTGGTTGATTTGCTTAACGCATACCTACCGGGAAGGGAATAGAGTCGCGAACTGGCTCTCGAAGCACAGTCTCGTCTATCTCTACGGTATGCATGAGTTAGCAAACCCTCCTTCGGGAGGACATCATGCGCATCACCAGCACCCGTAGGGTGGTTGCTACCTCTTCTTCCCCTCTTTTCACCTCCCCATGTAATTTTCTTTCTCTTGGCTTTTAGCCTCCTTCTGATGCAAAAAAAAAAAACAATTAATGTTATTTAAACTGGGTCTCATGGGCCTTGACTTTCAAACCCAACTGCTAAGCACAAACATGCACAATCAACATGAAAAATACCTCAATCATTGAATTAAACAACGTCATTCAATTCACCCTACAACTACATGGCAAATAGTTAGGGTTTCACAATACCCAAGTGAAAAAGAGTACTACTCCATGCTAGGAAGGGGAAGAACACAAGAGGAAGAGGTAGAAACCATCATGGTGCCTCCAATCTCCTTTGAGTATGTGTTGATCTTCTCTTGGGGAGAATCTTCCCAATCCACCACTTAGAGTAAACCCTAGCCTTCTTTCTTCCTTGGTTCGTCCTTTCTCTCTCTAAAATATGAAGAAGACACTTTCTCACACTTTTGGGCTCTCCCTTTCTCTCTTCCTTTCAACTCACATTATATACGAGGATCGAGCTCAGTTCATGGCCGTGAACTCTTCAACGCGTCCGTGAACATAGAGCGCGATGTCGAAACACACCGCTTCGCCATCAGGAGTTCACGGTTTGGCCTCAATCTTCACGGTCTTGTTGACCGTGAACTCGTCCCGCGGTAGTTACTGAGAATTCTCCCTGGAAGCATCGCGGTTCACGGTTTTGGCCTTCAGTTCACGGCCATAGTGGACCGTGAACTCCCTTGATAAATCGTGAACTGCCCCTGGATCACCCTCTTTGCCCGGTCTTTGCCTCTTTTCGTCCAACTTTCGACACCGGGTCTGGTTTCACCTGTTGGATCCTGAAACACACTAAAATGCACAAAACCTAGCGTAAAACCACCCTTTTGGGAGTCCAAATGCTACAAACGCCCAAGGGAAACAAGGATAAAATGTGTGCAATTAGGCCCGAATCACTCCCCCACACTTAGACGTTTGCTTGTCCCCAAGCAAACCATTTCACACAAGGTAAAAACTCAACCTATCAAAATGCTTTGGGGACAATTCAAAGGGAAAAAAGTGGCGAATCTCTAATGGCTATTGGCAATTAACAAAAGGACCGTTGCAAGCAATACCGACATCCACCACAAATGACATTCGAGGCTACTAAAAACGGGAAAATGAAAAGTTCTCACCTTGTTCATGAATCAATGCAAGTTTCAACAAGATCACTTACCAACCACAACTAACCGTTCATAGAGTTCAAGTCCAAGGAACAAGCGGATGGGCAACAAAGGTCCTCACTGGGGTATGATATGACATGCAAAACAAGAATGAATCACTCACTCTCTTGACCAGTGGGGTTGGGACCTTTTGGTGCAAAAAATGTGCACAATTATGAACTCTTGTCCCTATCGCCTCAACACCATGACAGCAACCTCTAAATGCTAGAGTTCACGGAACAGTTGTCATCACTAGCTTGTTCGGAGGTCTTAGACACATGTTCAAATGACTGGCGACTGTCTTGGACATGGGGAAAAGGCTTTTTGGGTGGTGGCAACACATTATGAAGTCCTACATCTTCACCCTAAAACCGAAGGTTCTATGATTTCGACTACTAACCTTCCTCACAAACAACGACCACTAGCATCAGCCAAAAACCTTGTTTCTCCCTTCAAAACTATCACCCATCATGAACTTCCCTTAACACTCTTCCTCGGTCCACTCTTGCTATCACACTTTGATTTGGTAGCGAAGGAATTCTAAGACAATGTGGAGGTTTCAATGGCTTGTGTGCTAAGAAACCTCACCTAGAGCATACTCTTTGATTCCTTGTGGCACACTCTACTTTGTTTACCCCATTTTATTACCTTTTTTTCGTTTCTCTTTCTTTTTCTTTCTACTTTCCTTTTTCTTTTCTTTTTGAGGGGGGTACTAGAGAGTTAAAAATTTGCCACACTACTTTTAACGATCAGTTCTCTCTTTTTAAGAACTCACTCCAACACTACTTTTCCTTTCAATTTCGATCCTAGCAAGAACCGCACACATCCTCCTATGTAGAACCTCAAGAGAGCACAAAAGCGAGAGCTCCGGGACACAAGGACAAAAAATGTATAGACACGAAGAAAGGATGGGGGGTCGTTCTATTAATACCATTAACCTAAGAAGAAAAACGCTCCTAATCATAAGAACCAAAGTCAGAAGGCTCAAAGGGATTGACTAGTGGATAATTCATTCGGGACAATCAACATTTGGGCGTGGACTAATCCTATGCCTCCATCATACTCACTAGTGACAACTGTGATGTTACTCGCCATGGTAAGAGGGATCTAAGCACA